AGTTTTAAAATATTTCAAATGCAGTAATAAAGTTTTTTAGATAATAAAGTATATTGAAGATAACCTTAGGTATTTAAGAGGTTATAGAGATCTGGGGCTTTCCTTTTAGGAAGCAATTTTTAAATTCTTTGGAATAGACAGCAGCTTTATTTTATGTTATCTCTGAAATTTGTGTAGCATTCTCCATTTCATTAAAAGAGAAACTCAAGGTCTAATATGTAGTATAAATAAGTGTAACAAATTCTAAAAGTCCAAAATTGTTGTTTTGCTCTCCATCCCTTTAAATTACTCTTTTCATGAAAATTCTATTGAATTATAGTCTGTGTGTTTTTTCTCATTTAAAATACTAATATAAATGCTAACCAAAAGTCTTTTAGCTTCTCAATAATATTATCATTTTAAGAAAACAAAGTATAATATATCTTACCAAGTATACAAACTTCTTTTCTTAAAATTTTCCATTAGTGTTGTATAGTGGTGAATTACATTAATACCAACTTCTTGGGAAACGAAACATATGTAACTGGGACTAGGATTAAAAGGCAGCAGAAAAATGCCACAGGAATTGCCTTAACAAAAACAGCAAAACAAAGGGTTTTGTATACATTTTCAAAATTTTCCTAGCAACAGATAAATGCCCAAAGCAGCTTCATATTGTTTTCACTCTCTTCCTCTCCACCTTTCTCTCCTTTCTTTTAATTGATAATCAATTATCATTGACTTTGAAATATATCATTTTCTTGTCTCTCAAATATTAACACAGAAGCAACTGTATATTTTCTTAAGCAAACAAACAAAACAAAACAATAACAATAACAAAAAATCCCAGGTTGCTACATTTTGTTTTTGAATTTCCCTTTTTTTTTTCTTTAAAAGGAGTGAGTTGTTTACAGGGGGGTTAAATGCTTTACAGACAAAATAAATAAATAAATAAACAAACAAACAAAAAATGCGCTGGAACCAACTTATTTATCATCATTTTCTTCTTCATCTTCCTCTTCCTCTTCTTCCTCATCCTCTTCGTCCTCCTCATCATCTTCCTCTTCCTTCTTTTTCTTGCTCTTTTCCGCCTTAACCATCCTGTTTTTCCCTGCATCGGGTTTTCCTCTAGCTCTGTAAGCAGCAATATTCTTTTCCTACATCAGCAATATCCTTTTCGTACTTCTCCTTCAGCTTGGCAGCCTTCTTTTCAAAGGGCTGCTTGTCATCTGCAGCAGTGTTGTTCCACATCTCTCCCAGTTTCTTTGCAACATCACCAATGGCTACCCAGCTTGCTACATTTTAACAAATTTAAAATGACTAAATTCTGAAATTGCCATTTCAAAGCAATTTGACTCAGTGGGAGAAAACGCACAATGTTTCAGAATTTAAGTGTTTTAGCCTTTCCTAGTTTTTAAATGTAGCCTTGAGATTACCTTTTGACTTTTAGTAACTTATTTAGATGGTCTTTTTCTGAAAGCTTTGTCTACTAAAAGGTCAAGAAAGTGGTGACAATCACTTAAGAATAGGTTTAGGATAGATGTTTATGAGCTTCTCCTAAGAAAATGATCTAGTTAAGATGATGTATGTACCTCAATTTATAGGAATTTTTGAGGCTTTTCCAGAGTTATTTGAATAGTCTGGCTTTGTAAGAATGGAAAATAAGACATCTCATTTCTTTACTTCCTCTCATTTGCTTTATTCATGAATACAGCCAGAATGTAAATGAGCAAATCCACCTATGAAAATTGTGATCCATAAATTATTTCAAACATCACCAATGAAAGAATATGTCCCAGTAATTCTAATGGTGAAAGTTCAATACCTGTTTCAGTCTGGTTCCATAATTCTCTGCTGCTCTGTCTCCCTATGCATTCATTCAATTCAGGTTAAACTCTGCATGTGTGTTGCTGGAACACTAGAAAACACATCTATGTCTTCATTTCTTGTGTTAAGAAACAGGTGGAGACAAGGATGACCCCAACTAGGAATCTAAGCACTATTAGAGACATTACTTTAAGTGTCCTTCTCCTATAATGAGATTGATGACTATCTTAATGCCATCTTACAGCCTTTATCCAGTAGCTGATGGAAGCAGAAACAGAGATTCACAGCTAAGCACTGAGCTAAACTCTGGGAATCCAGTTGTAGAGAGCGAGGAGTGATGAGAAAAAGGGTCAAGATCATGCTGGGGAAAACCCACAGAAACACCTGATCTGTGCAAGTAAGTGGGAGCTCACAGACTCCAGTCTGACAGCTGGGGAACCAGCATAACACCAAACCAGGCCCCCTTAACATGGGTGTCAGTTGAGGGACCTGGGCAGTCTACGAGCCTCTGGCAGTTGAACCAGTATTTATCCCTAGTGCATGAATGGGTTTTGGGTGTCCAAATCCCTATGGAGGGATTCTCTCTCAACCTAGATACATGGGGGAGGGTCTAAGTTCTGCTCCAAATGATATGACAGACTTTGATGATACCCCACGGGAAGCCTCACCCCCCAAGGAGTAGATGGGGGTGGGATCAGGTGTTGAGGGGAATGGTAGGGTGGACAGGAAAGAGAGGGAACTGGGATCAGTATGTAAAGTAAGATTTTTTAATTTAAATAAAAAGTCATTAAAAAAAAAAGGTGGAGAAAAAGATGTACTATGTTCCTTGTCCCAAAGGACTCCTTTCTGTTTTGCCTTTTTCTGTGACACCATTGCTCCAGGTTCAATTTTAATAGACTACTAGGAAATGGAATCTAGTTAAGCATTTTCTCTCTAATCCTATATTTTTGACCTATGCTTTATAATAATTTGATCATCATTTATAGATCTTCAATTCTCAATACAGGCATAAAGCTCTATATGTATTCAATGTCATGGGTATCCTGTGATGAGATGATGGATACTTTGTTAATATTATGCATAAGAAAGTTGTATTGGAGTAATTGCATTTTTAAGTAAAGTGAAAAATAAAAATGCAAATAAAATCTAAACCATAAATATTAAAGATAGTTATGATTCCTTATCTAAAATAAAATTATAAATACATACTGAAAAATGTATATTTTCATTTTAAATTTATAATATATACAAGCATATTATATAATAGGTTCAGTGTGGCTGGATTTATTTGAGGTATTTAATCCACTTGAACTTGTTTTGTGCCTGGTGATCTACATGGCTCTATCTGCAACCTTCTACATGCCAGCATCCAGTTATGCCAGCACCATTTGTTGAAGATGCTTTTTTTATTGCATTGTATAACTTTAGCTTCTTTGTCAAAAATCAGATGATCTTAGGTGTGTGGGTTAATATCAGGGTTTTCAGCTCAAATCCATTGTTCTAAGTGTCTATTTTTGTGCCAATACCAAGCTGTTTTCAGGACTATAGCTCTATAATAGAGCTCGAAATTAGAGATGATGATGTTTCTGGAAGTTCTGTCATTGCACAGGGTTGTTTTGGATATCCTGGGTCTTTTGTTTTTCCATATAAATTTGAAAATTGTCCTTTCAAGGTCTGTGAATAAATGTGCTGGGATTTTGATAGGGAGTTAGGATAATGAGAAGGGGAGAAGATGAGGGGTGACAAGGACATGAGGGAGCAGGAAGGTTGAGTTGGGGGAAGAATAGAAGAAAGATAAGAGATACCAAAAATAGAGGGAGAAATTATAGGTTTAATGAGATATCAGGCACTAGGGAAATGTCTGGAGATCTACAAATATGACACCAACTAACAATCTAAGCAACAGAGGATCGGCTACCTTAAATTCCCTCTCCTGATAATGAGATTGATGACTAACTTAAATGCCATCCTATAGCATTCATCCTAGAGCTGGGGGAAGTGGAAGAAGACACCCACAGCTAAACACTGAACTGAACTGGAATCCAGTTGTAGACAAGGAGGAGTGATGAGCAAAGGCGACAAACCAGGCTGGTGAAACCCACAGAAACAGCTGACCTGAACAAGGGAGAGTTCATGGTCCCCAGACTGAGAGCTGGGAAACCAGCATGGGACTGATCCACACCCCATGAACATGGGTGTCAGTGAGGAGACCTTGAAAATCTATGGGGTCTCTTGTAGTAGATCAGTACTTATCCCTAGCATAGGAGTGTTCTTTGGGAGCCCATTCCATATAGATGGATACTCTCTGAGACTAGATACTTGGTTGGGCCTATGCCCTATCCCAAAGTATACAATAGACTCTGAAGACCTCTATTGAAAACCTCACCCTCCCTGGGGAGCAGAAAGGGCATGAGATAGGTAGGGTGTTAGTTGGGGGGACAGGGGAGGAGAGGAGGGAGAGGGAACTGGGATTGACATATAAAACCATCTTGTTTCTAATTTAATTAAGAGATGGATAAAAAAAGGAAGAATTCAGTCAATAAATGACTTCCAGGGTATACTTTTGCAAAAAGTTTTTTGTAAACTTTATTACTATGTAGATTTATGTTTACATGAAAACTAAAATGACTATCACTTCAAAAAAGCAACCAACATTTAAAACAAAGAAAAAAATAAAGAATCAATATTTTAGGAAGAAAGAACTATGTCTGATGAAATAATATCCTAAGAGGTGCTTCTCAAACAATCCTAGCTGTAGTTTTTGTGTTATATAATTGATAAGTAATAAAATATAAAGTGCAAAAGAATAATAATGTTGTTGATATTTTTGTTGTAATACCTATAATTATTGTTTTGTTTCCTGTATTGAAGAATACTTATACTTTTACTTAGCATATAAAATCTGGCACCAAAACACTGATTTAGGGTGACAGTAAGATATACAAATATAAGTAATAATGATAATAGCACAGTGTAGATATGACAAATTATTATTTATATTACCAAGAACTAAAAAAAATTGTTTACAGAGTGTCCCATTTTGTTTTTACCATGCTAAAACAGTATGTGACCTGCATGCTGTTTTTTTTTTCTTTATATATATAGGAAAACACAAAATAGAGATAGTGCCTATACTAATGGATTGGATCCTCCTTTTCAGTTAGTGATAAAGAAAACATCCCACAGACATCTCTAATTGTTAATATGATGGATTCCTAAATTGAGATTCCCTCTTTTCAGGTTTCTCAAATTTTCAATCAGGGTTAGCTTCATATGTGATAATTTTTATTCAATTAGCCCAAGACTGTTACTGGGGTCTTGGCAGTCTCTGGGTGTGTTCCTGCTGGCAAAGTTCGGATCCTGTGAGCCGACCCTTAGCATCAGGTGTCTCTGAGCAGGGCAGTCATCCATTTCCCAAGGTCATATTCAATATGCTGAGATTGGAAAGGAGGTAGGTTGGTGTTACTACAAATAAAGTTCAGTGCCTCATATATCCCACGTGAACACTATGAGTATCATGAGCTATATTCTCAGCAATCAAATACGTCGTATGAAAAATCCTATGAAGTATTTTTATGACTACAGATTAATAAGAAAAATGCAGTTCACATTATAGTAGAAAAATTAAGATATAAATGCATATATACACTTAAGTAAATATGCATATAAACATGTGTACATGTAAGTGTACCTTACTATTAATCATCAATAATGAGCCAAAATATGTTGAGGTTATGTGATTGATTTTCTTTTTAGAGACAGGTTTCTCTGAGGCCAAGATCTCACTATGTAGCCCTGACTAGCCTACAACTGCAATGTAGAACAGGACAGTCTTAAATGCAAAGAGACTCACCTGTCTCTCTCTCCAGGGTGCTGGGATTAAAGGATTGTGAAGTCAAGTCTAGGTCCTGATGTTTTTTGTTTGTTTGTTTGTTTGTTTGCTTTTTTCTTTTAAAGAACTGACTCCACAATGTTGTTTGAGGATGAAGTTAGGGAGCAAATAACATGCTTAACAGAGGAAAGAGCATCAATAAGAAATGATGTTGAAATTGTGAGATACTGAAAAAATAAGCTTTGTGTGCTGTATTCAATAAACAAATTATCAACTTAAGAATCGAAATGGCTTCAGCTATGAGAATTCTCCTATATTACAAAGTAGATGGATAAACACCAACTGCATCTGTTTTCCAGAGGATTTTTAAAGACTCCAAACTCATGAAGAGTTACTCACTGGAATTTGAAGCATCTGCCAGTGTGATCCTCTCCTGATTTATTTGGCAAACATTAGGAATGAGAATGATTGTTGAAAGCTACTTGAAGTTGTTAACAACTAATTAAAATTTCAGGGAGGAAAATCTGTCATTAAAAAAGCTAAACCATTAGAGTATTAGGCACTTGAAATTGAGTAAATCTGAAAATACTACCCATTGGTGTCTAAACAAGTCAAAAGCCTTATTACAACTGCTCTTATCCCCTGACATTATGCACTGATTATAAAACTCTCCACTTTCACTCATCTCAATATCCGTGTGTACTTTTGTAGATGATTCAGTAAATTGTTTGTTGACATACATTATGTTCTTCATAGTTAATTGGTTTTAGCTTTGTCTGAGAGATTAACTCTGGCACTGACCAGTTCATCACATTTATAAGCACCCTATAAATGAGCACATTGAAGGTTTCTAAGTGGAAGAGACATCAGACAAGAGATAGTTGAGGAAAATTCCTGAGACAGACACTGGAAAACAGTAGCCAAGCTTGAAACTATTCCCATGCCAATATTGTGAACATGTAATGATCCCCATGGAACAAAAGATTTGCCATTTGTATAGTGTAAAATGAAATTGGATCATGTAACAATAACTCTTTCTTTGAGCCACCTGAGTTCTGCTGCCACGATAAGGCCTTCAAATAACATATATAGGTTAATATTAGTTACAATGCTGCTGGCCAATGACTAGGATTTCTTATTTGCTAGCTAAGTCTCAATTATCAACCAAAAGAACTATTCTATATATTTTATAAGGACTTCTTTTACCAAGGACTCTGGCCTTATGCCCTGGCTTTCCTGGGATCACATGGCAACTCTCCACTTTACTACATTTCCCAGAATCCTCCTTGACTCCTAACCTTGCCTATCTTGCTTCCCTATTGGCCAATAATGTTTATTTATCAATCAATAAGACAAGTATATACACAGAAAGACTTCTACCATCAGGGTCAAGGAAATAAAAGAAGTATTTGAGAAATCAAATAAACCAACAAACAAAATGGTACAAAAAAAAGGAGTACAGGGTGGCTGGGAAAGTACTCTTGCACTCTGATGGTATATCTGGTTTCATTTAATGTCTGAGTTTTGCATTAAGTTACTGTGTACTAGTAAAACATTAACCAACCACATTGCCTCAGTAAACAGCTTCAGTAAGGATCTGCTCTCCTTCCAGAAATCAGTGCCTGTTTTTACTTGCAACTATATTTTCAATAATTGCCTCTGAAAATATGCTGTTTCACTCAATGCCTTCTCTCCATCTCCCTTATTAGGACAGGTTGGCCACTGCTATGCATAATTTATATGTTTAACTTCAAGGGGCTGACTGAACGGGTAGCTTTAATATTAAAAATTATAAAGGTATAATACCTCCTCATTATAATGAGTGTGACATGTGATTATCCATACGAACTTATAAACATGACATCATAATGATGACAATTTAACAAAATTATGAAATCTGCAAGAATGGAAAGAATAGAAATTGCAATATTTTTTCAAAAATATTTACTTTTACTGGAAAGAATTTTTTGAGACACAGTTACATGTAACCTAGGCTGCCCTTGAACTCTCTGTGTAATAAAGAACAACTTTAGCAGCTAATCTTCTTGCCTCCACCTCCCTTCTTCTATGATTGTAGGCATATGCCACTATGTCTACATGATCCAAAGTTGAAGATCAGTCTTAAGGCTGTACGTATACAAGGTAAGCTCTCTACAAAAATTCTGTGAGAATAATAACACAGAAGAGCATAACAGGTGAGCTCAGAGCAATTATTCAAAATCATTGTGAAAATGAGGAGTAAACCAGCTCTACGGACCTTGTAGAAAGCTTTGTTGTCAGAAACCTCTGTCTGACAGGTAAGAATGAGATGAGGATAAGTTTAAGTAAGGAGACAGATGTTCAAGTGGAGTTCTCATAAAATAGTTATCTCTTAATCAAAAGGTCTGGGGCAGGATAGATTGTCCTGTGGGTGCACAGGTAAAGCCTAGAGACTCAGTTGGATTCTCATCTAACTCCACAATTTGGCTAAGGACATCTACATGCATGTGGGACATGCATATTCCTATACACTCTTTGAACACATGTGTTCATGTATACAGATACAAACACAGTGACACTAGTAATAATTAAGTTTTAAAAAAATTATAAACAAATTATCTGAGTCTTCCAATAAAACCAGACTGGATTGCCTATTTTGTAGTGAAGGGGCATTTCTCAACTATGGAAAGCACACTGAAATATTGGGCTGTTATTGATCTTCTGTTATACCCAATCTTAACCTTGAGATGTGGTACTTTATAAAATAATCCTTTGTATCTATTTTTTAATCTCATGTTTATCGTCATTTTATTTCTTTAAGAAGTGGTTGATTTTTGATTTTGGCCATTCTGACAGGAGTGAGATGGTATTTCCTAGTAGTTTTGATTTGCATTCCCCTGATGGCTAAGGATACTGAGCACTTTCTTAAGTGTCTTTCAGCCATTTTAGATTCCTTTATTGAGAATTGTCTATTTAGTTCTGTGCCTCACATTTAATTGAATTATTTGGTGTTTTGGGGACCAGCTTCTTGAGTTCTTTGTAAATTTTGGAGATCAGCCCTCTGTTGGATGTGGTGTTGGGGAATATCTTTTCCCATTTTATGGGCTGCCATTTTGTCTTGCTGATTGCTTCCTTTGCCTTACAGAAACTTCTCAGTTTCAGGAAGTCCCAATAACTAAGTGTTGATTTCGGTGTTTGTGCTACTGGTTTTATGTTCAAGAATCTGTTTCTTTTACCAGTTCCTTCAAGGGTACTTTGAAATTTCTCTTCCAAGAGGTTCAGTTTGGCTGGATTTATATTACGGTCTTTGATCCATTTGGACTTAAGTTTTGTGCATGGTAATAGACATGGATCTATCTGCAGTATTCTCTATACCAGCATCCAGTTATAGCAGCACAATTTTTTTGAAGATGCTTTCTTTTTTTCATTGTGTATTTTTAGCTTCTTTGTCAAAGATCAGGTGTTCATAAGTGTGTGTGTGTGTGTGTGTGTGTGTGTGTGTGTGTGTGTGTGTGTGTGTTGATATCAGGGTCTTCAATTTTATTCCATTGGTCTCCCTGTCTGTTTTTGTGCCAATAACCTGCTGTTTTTCTATAGTTCTATAGTATAGCTTCAAGTTTCTTTATTGTATAGGGTTGTTTTGGCTATCCTGGGTCTTTTGTTTTTCCATATAAAGTTGAGAATTGTCCTTTCAAGGTCTGTGAAGAATTGTGTCAGTATTTTGATGGGGATTGTGTTGACAGTTTATGCTGAAGAGGATGTGGACAAAGGGAACACTCCTATATTGCTGGTGGGAGTGCCAATGTGTACAGCCACTTTGGAAATCTGTATGGAGATTCCTCAGGAAAATGGAAATCAGTCTACCACAAGATCCAGCAGTTCCACTCCTAGGCATATACTCAAAAGATGCACATTCATACAATAAGGACATCTGTTCAACTATGTTCATCTCACCACTGTCTGTAATAGCCAGAACCTGGAATCAATCTAGATGCCTCTCAACTAAAGAATGGATAGAGAAAATGTAGTACATTTACACAATGGAGTACTACCCACTAGAATAAAACAATGGAATCTTAAAATTTCAGGCAAATGGATGGCACTAGAAAAAACCATCAGAGTGAGGTAACCCAGTCACAAAAATAGAAACATGGTAAGTACTCACTCATATATTGATGTTAGACATGAAGCACGGGGATTGCCAGCCTACAGTCCTACTGCCAGAGAATCTGGCAAAGAGGGAGGACATTAAGAGAGACATGCATGGTACTTGGGAGAAGGGAAATTTTACAGGATCTCTTGAGTGAATTGGGAGCATGGGAGGAGGGCAGAAGGAGATTGGAGTAAGAGAGCAGGAGAAGAGGAGAGTGGAGGACACAGGGGATCAGGAAGATTGAGTCAAGGAAAGGATAGAGGAGAGCAAGATAAGAGATTTCGTAATATTGGAAGCCATTATAGGTTTAAAGAGAAATTTGCAACTAGTGAGACTTCCAGAAATCTACAAGGATGATACCATCTGGCAATCTAAGGAATTGTAGAGAGGCTATCTTATATACCCTTCCTCGATAATGAGATTGATGACTACCTTATATGCCACCCTAGAGCCTTCATCCAATGATTGATGGAAGCAGAGGCAGATACCTACAGCTAAATACTGAACTGAGCTCCTAGAACCCAGTTGTAAGAGGGACGAGTAATGAGCAATGGAGTCATGACTGGGCTGGTGAAACCCACAGAAACAGCTGACCTGAACAAGGGGGAGCTCAGGAACCCCAGACTGATGGCTGAGAGGCCAGTATGTGACTGATCAAGACCCCTTGAATGTGGGTGTCAGTGAGGAGGCCTTGAAAATATATGGGGCCACAAGTAGTAGACCAGTAGTTATCCCTGGCACACAAATGTAGTTTGGGAGCCCATTCCACATTAAGGGATGCTCTCTCAGTCTGAACTGATGGGGGAGGGCCTAGGCCCTGCCTGATATATTTGACAGATTTTGGAGATCCCCCATGGAGGGCCTCACCCTCCCTGGGGAGCAGAGGGGGAATGGGATGAGGGCTTGCAGGGCTTGGTTGGGGTGAGGAGGAGGGGAGTGAGAGGAAGCTGAGATTGACATGTGAAGCAAGCTTGTGACTAATTAAAAAAAGTGTTTGATATCCCCAGCAACCACCAGTTAATTATCATTGAAATATCAAAGAAAAAAATAAAACCAAAATTATAAGGAATACAAATTGCTCCATTAATGTGAATAACACACCATTATTTTGAAGTAATATTATCACATTAATGTTTGAAGAAAACACAATTCCATTGTGGGATCACACATCACGCCTCATAGTGAGGACACAAAACATAAAAGTTCATGATGAAGAGTAATTTACAGTATGAGAAGACATTTAATTAGGTAGACTTTTTAGAAAACTCAAAGACATAGCAGAGGAAAAAAATGCTGGAATCTAAAAATCAGTGACTAACTTAAGAAATCAATAAAGAATCATTTATGTAAAGAAATATGCTTGGAATGACACATTTGATCTCATTTGGAAGTAACAATAAACTGAATTTTTTCAACCACAAATTTATCGAATAAGAAAATATCATTTCTCTGTGTGTTAAAAAAGAGCATTTAATTAATTGTATATCAATATTACTAAACTAAAAAATTTATTCTTTGTTATAGACTTGTAATATTAGCTCCAGGCCAGCAGGGACTGCAGAGAGTGACCCTGCCTTAATTAAGAACAAATGTTATTCTTACAGTTTTAAACAAGTTTAAAGATACATTTAAATACATAATACAAATTAATTTGGTTGGGTAGTTCAAATTCAAATTTTAGACAAGTTGTATTTATGTGTTTAAATCTTTTATGCATATTACTATTAAACATGAAAATATGATGTCAATGGGTAGCATTCATTAATGATATTATTCACACAATTTTATGGATGAATGGCATTTCTCATCATCCATCATGTGCTGTTTGTTTAGGTGAAATATGCTTAATTCCATCAATAAATATATAATCTGTGCAGCTAGAAATAAAGTTGTGATGTGTTTATCTTACCTTTGTCCAGTGCCAGTAATTCTCTTGCACCATCTTTACAACTGCACTTACAACTTTAAAGATATGCTCTTCACATAGTGGTTGATAACACATAAAATATACCTTAAATGTTACCGAAGAAAGAGTAAAAAGGGGTTTGCCAGAAGTTAGTTAAAATAAACGAGTCAGAATTGCATATTTTGCCCATGACAGTTTTAGCAATATTGTTGAATGATTTGATAACAGGAATAAAAATAAAAAATTGTGCATGCATGTGTGTGTGTGTGTGTATGTGTGTATGTGTGTGTGTGTTTGTGTATGTTAGCATATGTTTTCCATACTATGTCCATAGATAAATAGGTAGTCATTATTTAAAGGCTCTAACATTATATCATTTTTATTTTTATTTTATTATCTTTTATTATTTGTTTTTTTCCAAACAGAGTTTCTCTGTGTCATAGTCCATTCTGTCCAGGGACTCTCTTTGTAGACCAGCCTGGACCCAGACTCTCAGATATCTGCTTGCTCTGCTTCCCAAGGGCTTGGATTAAAGGAATGTGACACTACTGCTTGGCGTAATATATCATTTTGAAGAAAACAGAAGTTGATGATAAATTTATTGTTGATGGTATCACAAAGTGAATAAATTATCCCCTCAAAGTGATAAGTACTAGTATTTTAAAGTGGCATTATTAAATCAATATACACAGTGAAAATGGAAATTAGGAGTCAGAAGACAAAACCATTAAATGCACAGAAATTATAACTTTTAAATTGTAACATTTGTTTATGGTTCTCAAATTCCTTTGTTACATCTAAATATGTTGTAGGTGTTACACACATGGAAAATTGAAAACATAATACATGATAATAGTGATAATATGATGGGGAATGTCCTTTTGTGTATGTTTATCTTATTGATTGCTGAATAAAGCACTGTTTGGCTAATGAAAAAGCAAGCTAGGTGGGATTAGGAGTCAAAGAAGATTCTGGGAAATGTAGTAAAGAAGTTTTGTGATCCAGGCACAAAGTGACATACCAGGCAGACTCATATATAAGCAAGGAGAAGAAGGAAGTCATTCTCTTGCACTTCCTCCTCTTCCTGCTCTCTGCTCTGGAGCTGCCATGTGAGCCCAGGAAGACAGGATGCTCACTGCCACCATCCTCCATAAGAAAAGTATTAAGATTATGGTTGATAATTAAGACTGAGCTAGCAAATAAGAAATCCTATTCAATTGGCCAGCAGTGTTGTAAACAAATATAAGACTCTGTGTGTTATTCTGGGTGCCCACATGGTGGTGGTGGGGCTCAGGTTGATGGAGTAAAAATTTATCATTGCAATAGTACAATCAAGTGAAGTAAATATGGCCATTCTTATGGGCCACACACATTCTGTAGAGCTTCTATAATTTTAGCATTTTTTTGCATAAGATTTTTAGATATGAGGTTTAAATTTTCTTTGTGCTTATGCTGTTTCATGTGCATAAAATTTCTCAAATGTTTATATTAATGCCACCCATCAGATTTCAAAGTTTCTTAATTATTAATTTTAAAATAGTGCTTTTATCTGAGTGTCTTCTTTTCTTCTTAGAACCTGCCTCTGTAATGCAGCCATTAGATTGGTCTTGAGAAAAACAACTCACATTTAAGCATCAGTTAAAAATTAGGGGCTAGAGAGACAGATAAGTGTTAAAAGCACATACTTCTCTTGAAGTAGACCCATAGTTACTTCTTGGCAAACACATGGTGGCTCACAGTGGTCTATAAATTCATTTGCTGTGGTTCCAGTACCAAATTCTGGAGTTCAAGGGCATTTGACCTCACATGTGCACATGAACTTTTACAGACTTCCCCCCTCCACACACACAGAGTACTTAAAAAAACAATGTTTAAAAACTATAAAATGTAGACCCACTTATTTTCAGAATGATAGTATAGAAGCTTACCAACTGGTACACCTTGAATAAATTTCTCTTAGTCAAGCTGCACCTGAGGCAGGAGTTAGTGAAACAATTATGATACTTCTTTTCAAGCACTAAAATGCAAATCAGAGTATTAAGTTGCTTAATACTGTTCATGCTTGTCAAGAGCAGGCTCTGAGGGCAAGAAGGCACTTTTGTCTCACTTACAAGGTTGTTTCTTTCAAGTGTCACCCAAAACTCTCTGTTCTGGGCCAGGTTCTGTATTAGCCAGAAATGACAACATATAAGGGCAAGAAACAATGCATTTCTGAGAGCAGCTTGGGGATAAACTGTTTGCAGCAGATGTTCCTTTTGTCTATGTCACAACATAAAAATGTCTGTGCTGAGAAAAAAAAAAAAAAAAGAAGCCAGAAACTGGTTCATGGAGAGAACACTGTTCTATCTAAAAATTTCCTGATTGGAACCCCTGCATGATGTTTTAGTTGGGCTTCCCCAGTTATTGATCTGAATGTTGCAAGAACTTCATTCCATTTTACTTTGGCAGGCTCTCGTGATTAGAATGCTGAGGTTGTTTCTGGTGGATACTGTAAGCATCCAATTTGATAGTAATTTTCCATGTACTGTTTCTGTCTATGTACTATTTTGTGGCTATATACCCTCAGTTAAAAGAAAAAAAAAACAAATCACTATTACATTATATCATACTGTGTACAGAACAAACATCAAAGACTGTGGTGATATTTTGTTTATGATCTAACAAATAAAGATGGCCTAAAATTCAGAATGAAAAGCTAGACACACTAGCTACCCATAGAGACCAGGCAGTGATGGTACACACCTTTAATTCCAGCACTCAGAAGACAGAGGCAGACAGATCTCTGTAAGTACAAGGCCACCCTGAGCTACAAGAAATAGATCCAGTCTATAAGAGAAACAGAACCTACACAAACGTGATCTCAGCACTTGGGATCTCACGTTTTTAAGTCCAGCACTGGAGAGGAATATAAGGCAGGAGGAGATAGGAGCTCAGTGCAGTCTGAGAAGCAATACAGTAGGTAGCAGTCTGGAGTTCAGTGGGTTGCCCCTTCTCTCTGAGCATTGGTAGAGGTGAGAATTCTCCAGTGGCTGGCCACTTTGCTTCTCTGCTCTTCAGACATGCTTCATTTATTATATTATAAACAAAATTTCACCACAAAAGGCCGGATTTTAATATTAACTATATGATTTAGAAGTTTAATGCATAACAAATATTTTGAAACTATGCAAGTCATACTTTGTCTAGGGTGCCTGAGGCGCAATCTTTATTTTCACAGCTTGGTGAAATTTTAATGAACTTCCAAACCTCATTTTCTACTGTTTGTTAACTAGGAAGTATGAAAAAGTCTAAGTATAATCTTCTCCCTACATAGAAATAACTTTTAATTCAGCTTCTCTGGTGGACCAAATCACAGTATTTTTTTTGTTTTTGTTTTTGTTTTTTTTTTTGTTTTGTTTTTTGTTTTTTGGTTTTTTTTTTTTGGTTTTTTGAGACAGCGTTTCTCTGTGGCTTTGGAGGATGTCCTGGAACTAGCTCTTGTAGACCAGGCTGGTCTCGAACTCACAGAAATCCACCTGCCTCTGCCTCCCGAGTGCTGGGATTAAGGGCATGCGCCACCACCGCCTGGGTACAAATCACAGTCTTATTTTGAATTACACACACACACACACACACACACACACACACACACACACACACACACATATATATATATATATATCTATATATCTATATATAGATATATATATATATATTCCTTGAACAATATTACCCAGCTGTAAAAAGAATTCCTCATGGAAGAGAGGAAAAAACAGCTACTACTTTTCCATTTCCTCTCTTTCTCATCTATTATTCAGATCCAAATCATCCAAAGGAGCACTAATATTACTTGAAAAGAATTATATTAAAATTTGTATTCTATCATGGGTAGAAAACAAGCCAGCATTTCTCTGCAAAACCAAGTGGATGGCTTTTTTTTTTGCCATTTTCTTCTTAAACAACGAGTGTGTTTCATGACACTGCAGTATGACAGTGTTTTTACTAGGTTTTTGACACATTGATTGTAGAATATATTCTAAGTCAGAAATGAAAAGCAATGCATGCATTCAGGAAGTGGAAATATACAGTAAAAAATATACACATTTTTTCTACTAGTAAAGTTTTGATTATTTGGATGTTAAAATCAGTTGAACATACCATTTCTGGATTTAAATTGTTATGAAGACAAAGAAAAATACCATAGCAGAATTTTAAAATAACATATATTTAAAGACTGAAAATACATATGTTCAATTATAAATTTCTTGAAAGACAGAAAAGCTTGCCCTATCAATAATCTTTGATGGATTATAAAAGAAAAGGCAGATACTAAAAACTGATCCGAGCTTTGACATGGAATGAGAATTTTATAGAACTTGTGTTTTTACAACAGTATTTTTAAGTTTCAGAGGATCTTATGGTCAATTACAATGTTAACATTGATTGTTTCCGCTATATATTAGAACCCTTGGAACAAAAGCAAGACTAAAAGCTTACATATAGACATAGGATCCTCATTTAGTAATCTGCATCAATTTCTATGAAAACCTGTGGTATCCTGATGAGTTAAAACATAGATGCATCACCCACAGCTAAACACTGAACTGAACTGGAATCCAGTTGCAGAGAGGGAGGAATGATGAGCAAAGGGGTCAAGATCAGGCTGGTGAAACCCACAGAAACAGCTGATCTGAACAAGGGGGAAATCATGGTCCCAAGACTGATAGCTGGGAAACCAGCATAGGACTGATCCAGTACCCATGAATGTGGGTGTCAGTGAGGAGTTCTCAGAAATCTATGGGGCCTCTTGTAGTAGATCAGTACTGATCCCTAGTACACAGATGGATTGTGGGAGCC